CCCTAGGGGTAGGGTTACCCTATCAAACAGATAGGGTGACCCTAGCAGCAGGGCTATCTTTTTGTTTACATAAGCCATGTAAACGCGTCAGGTAGGGTTACCCTAGCAAGCGGGTCATGTTTTATACGTCCTACTGTGACAGACAAACAAGGATATGGCGTCGCTAGATTATACATATGAACATATCAGCCTGGCGAGTATTTTAAACGACACCAGAAAATAAAAAGGATAAGCAATTTACAAATAAGGAAGCAGAGGCATAGAACGAAGCTTTGACTTTGGACGAGAACGCTGCGAATGATGTAGTTTCGATAACAAATTGTCAAAGACGGCGAAAAGGAAGCAAAATTCCGGCGCATCCTCATCGACGTCAAAAAAACAAAATAAATGCTCTTGGTCAGCCGAACATGTCGAAAAACTGTTGTGTTGGACTATATCAAGGAATACATTACGCTTATTTACGCAATGCGAGTAATAGACCACAACATTGAAATAACAGACCACGATATTGAAATAACCTCGGAAATAACAGACCACAACATTGAAATGCAGCAAGCAAAGGCCCAATAAATAGCATTACACAACTTGCCGCTAAAACTTTGCGTTTCGGCGCCATTTATCTAATACAGACCGCTTAGCGACCACGCATAGGTAGGGTTACCCTATCCGGCAACATAGCCCTAGCAGTAGGGTCACCCTATCTCATGTAAACGCTCGCTATTTTCTGACCCGCTTGCTAGGGTAACCCTCCTGATAGGGTCACCCTACCTCCATTTACAAACTCATCAGACCATATTCTTTTGTATTTCGTCGGTTTTTAACTCCCCCGTAATAACCTTCAGTCTAAAAGCAGGCGGTGGTATTTGATTTCTCCGGGGGAAATACGGGGTTGAAGGTTATTACGGAAAAATAATAACCGGGTAGCAGGTTATTACGGAAAAATAATAACCGGGTAGCAGGTTATTACGGAAAAATAATAACCTGCTAGTCTGCTACCAGGTTATTATTTTTCCGTAATAACCTGCTACCAGGTTATTATTTTTCCGTAATAACCTGCTACCCGGGTTATTACGAAAAAATAATAACCAGTTACCTGGTTTTACATTTTCAATTCAAGACCTGGCATGAGTCTTGAATTCGGGACTTGAATTTGCAGGAAAACTCAAGACCCACATCTCCTTTTCGACTAGAAAACGTTGCACGTCTCTAAGTCGAGAAACAGACAACAGCCGTGTACCTCAGAGCCCGTCAAAACTCTACCATTAGGTAAGAGCATCTATCATTCGGCGCACGAGGACTAGCTGGATCAACCATCAAACATGCTTGTGCAGGGAATTTATACAGTAATATCTGCTCTTTTGCTTGTGGGACGTGAAATGATATACTGCGCATGCTTAACCACATTTTAAAGCGTGTTAATGCGCATGTTACACCTAGTTATTTCGTCCCACAACTGCAGCGACCTCTCATTGAATTAATATAGCTTGAATTTTTAATGAAGAAAACCTCCAAAATTCAAAAGAATATGGTCTGATGAGTATATAAACAAGTTAAAAGCCGCGGGTATCGGTTTTTATTAAACTGTAAAGACCTCGGGCCTTCGGCCCTCGGTCTTCACAGTTTAATAAAAACCTCTCCCTTGGCTTTTAACCTATATATAACCGGCCCTTGGTGGTAAAACCTTTCAAAACTTGTCTATTTTATAGTTAAAACTTCTTGTCATAATTCACAAATAAAATATTTTTTAAAGAGCCCCGCCCCGATTGAGCGGCGCCGCGCTTAAACGAGTAAATATGGAGTAACGTTTCAAAGCGGGTTGGGATAAAACGCGGAACCGGAATGCGGAAGTGGATTCCGGAAGAGGATTCCGGAAATGAGGATAAAACGCGGATTCCGCAAATGAGGATAAAACGCGGAATTGAAACAGAATAAGGACGAGAAGCATCTTAGGGTAAATTAAGTTTGGTCACAACATTAACTTAATGCCACAACCACTGAAAAATTTACCTGGCAAAATTTTCCCTTTATTAATTTAATTTTAACTGCATTCAAGCGAATTACAAGTAACCCAAATAAGTGCGCTTATGGTGGTCTTGGACAAAAAATTCCTATATTCAGTCAATTTTTTGTAAAAATAAAGAAATGCAGTCAATCTTCGCATGTTTAATACTGAATAGCAACAGTATATTTTAAACACCAAAATATAATAATACGAAACTGGTTCAAAAGGTCTAAGAAGTGTGCAAATTAAACATTACTTGCAAAATTTTAATTTACACGATTGACTCGCGGAAAATTTAATAATTAAAATGTTTATTTTTTGTGTAGTGATATAATACTTTTGTTACATGCGCTATTAATCGAGTCTATATCGGTAGTTTAACTCCTGCGCTGCCGGCAGCAGCCACTTATAAATTCAGTTTGTCATTCTCTTCTTATATATAGTGCATTACGCGCACAATAGTTCTTTGTTCTCGTACGCGTTTTCTTTTCGTGGCATTTTAATACAAATCCATGAAAATTGTGATGATTTATGGCGAAATTTCATTCGGCGGCGGAAAACGGTCAAATTTCTGAATCACCTGTCAAATGTGTTGTGCATGTTTCGTATTACATTACATTCGCCGGGTTTTGCTGTTCCTAAGTTTATGTTCATCAATATATGTAGTTTGGCAAAAACAAAAATCGAGTACGAGGCTACGAGCTGTAGTTGCACTGGAGGCAGATTTGGTCAATAACGATATAGATGTATGTGTGGAGAGCGAGAGTCACCTGAAACTTAAAATGCCAGATGCTGTGGTGACCATTCATAATTATTCAATATTTAGAAGAGATGGAAGTTGGGAAGGACGCGCTATGAGAGCAAAAGGAAGGGTAGCAATATATGTTCGGAACAACTTAAAAGCTATTGATATTTATCGATCCAGTTTGTACGAACTTATTGGTGTCACACTTCTGTTACCTACAGGAAACCACATGTTGATATATGGCCTTTATCACCCACCTAGGCACAATTATCTGGAGAGCGACTTTATTGGATTATTTGATAAATATTTCTGACGACGTTCTGGACAAATATCCAGACACTGTAATTGTTTGTGGAGGGGATTTGAACAGTTTGGACATAAAACACCTTGAGGAACTATCAGGATGGGATGCAATGGTCGACTTTTCAACAAGGGGTAACGCTGCATGTTTGGATAACTGATGATGATGATGATGATGATGATGATGATGATAAACTTTATTTAACCACGCTAACATTGTCAGCTAAAGCTGGTTTCCACAATGGGCGTGTGAACAAAAGTAAATTTACAAGAAAAAAAGATAAAGGTAGTAAGAAATTACATGCATATATGTGAAAAAGAAAATATACTATATAATATACGTTAATTTACTATTTACATTCATGCTTTAATAACAATGGGTAGCGATTTTCCTTTCGAAAATTGATAGCGTTTTGCTTTCTCTAATAATTTCTGGCAAAGAGTTCCATATGACAGCTCCGTCATACATGAAACTCTTTTTTAAACTGTTCGAACGTGGCTTTGGCAACCGTAATGTGGTTGAGCTGTGTATGAGCTGTTGATTGGTTAAAAATATAGGTTAATGAATCAGAAATAACTGGGGCTGCTATTTTGACAACCTTGCTAGAAATTTTATCTAAGCCAGTAGCTTTATTGCCAGCTAGTTGAGATAACAAAAAACAAACATGGTTTGTAGTAACTGGTTTGAATGCAGTAAATTCAGATTCAGCTTTCTTAAGGTAGTCCTTAAAATGACATTCAGTTGTATCAATTTCAACTGCTAAGTTAGGTCCAATATTTGCAAAGTAATCATTGAAACCTTTTGCTATGTCTTCAAGGCTTGTTAGTTTTACATTATTTATATTTAATTCATTCACTTTAGTAGGTCTATTTTGCTTACCAATTAAACTATTAATTGTCTTCCAAGCAGCTTTTGGATTTTGGCTCTCAGAAGAAATTTTATTGGTGTAATACTCTTTTTTAGCCAGTCTTAACTGAGTATTTGTTTCATTCCTGGCTCTTTTATAGTTTTCCCAATCGGACTCAAGTTTCGTTACGATTGCTCTTCTTTTCAATTCATCCCTTGTGATTATCATTTGTTTAATATGATTAGTAATCCAAGGTAGTTTTTTAGATTTTATCTTTTTACTTTGAAGAGGGGCATGTTTATCTAGAACCTGTAAAAATAGCTCTTTCCAAATTTGCCACATACTGTTGGGATTGTCTGCAAAAAAGTAGACATTCTCCCATGACTGGATTTTAAGATCATGAAAGAACTTATTTTCATTGAAGTTTTTCATATTCCTAATTTCAATAATATTTTCTTTATCTTTATGGTTTATATTAATCTTCCTAATGGCATAAATGAGACTGTGGTCACTGATTCCAGTATGAATCACACCACATTTAGAAACTTTTTCAGGTTCATTTGTAATAAAGTGATCAATAAGTGTAGATGATGTCTCAGTAATTCGTGTTGCTTCATCAATTAATTGAGTTAATTGATAAATTTCGAAAAGAGACCTTAATTTGTTTGTTGGGTGATTGGGATTGGGCTTAAGTTGGTCACAGGATCAACTAGGATAAGGATTTCTTTATTTTCATTATCAATAGTTTGCAATAAATTTTCAAAACTGGTAAAAAAATCATCTGATGCATCAGGTGGTCTATAAACTGAGACAACCACAAATGGTCGGCTATATGGCTTGGATATTTCAAGGCATATAGCTTCTAGATCTGGTGGTATTAGGTCATGTCTAGTTTGATAATTTATGGAGTTGCGAAGGTATATACAAACACCCCCACCATTTCGATTTCTGTCTTTTCTTATAACTGCCTTGCAAATAGAATAGATTTGTTCTCAAAATGTTATCCTTTCCATATGTTAACTAAAACAGACCACATAGGGGTTATTTTATCAGCACGAACGAAACTAAAACCTATGCGCCGAAAGGTTGAATTTCGGGATTGTAGAAGGCATCGAAAGGACGATTTCCACAAAGCTTTAGCAGAAGAAGATTGAGAGGATGTATCCAGTCCACGAATGTAAATGACGCTGTGAATTGTCTTGAACGTAAGATCATGGATCATATGAATAAATGTATGCCCACAAAAACTGTCTCAATTTCGTCACGTGACCCTTACTTGATGAGTCCTTTATTTAAATCTTTGCTAAACGCTAAATCCAGAATTGCTCGGTCGCAAAAGGATACACTCAGTTTAATTAACAAAAGGATTTCTGATGTCATTTGTCTAAACAGAAGAAATTTTAGGGCCTTGGCGGGAAGTAGAACTTGGTGGAGAAAGACGAATGATATTTCTCAGCGAAATGCATCGTCATCAAGAGTTACTTTAGATAATGCATCACTTACAAGATTAAATCCCTACTTTGGCGAACTCTGCCACGATGATAGTTATGTCGAAGCGACGCTCTCAATTATTGGTGATGAAGTAGATATTCCTAGCTTCACGGAACAGCAGGTATGGAATGCCTTTAAAAGAATAAAGAGGACAGCAACAGGTCCCGATTATATTTCCTATTGGGTTTGGAATGATCATGCTGAAATTCTAACCGAAGTTATAACTAACGTCTGGAATTTGTCCCTTTCATCACATACTTGGCCAGATTCATGGAAAAGAGAGAATATTAACCCTCTTGCAAAGGTTGATTTGCCAAAGGAAGATGGTGACGACTTTCGTGGAATAAATATTACACCTGGAATTGCGAGGACCTTCGAAAAGCTCGTTTATAATAGTCAGATTAAGTCGACAGTTGAGGAAATTTTTATCCCCAACGCAATTTGCGTACAGGCAGGGGGGAAGTTGTACAAACGCTCTGTTGACTATTCAGAACAAAGTACTCAGCTTCTTAGATAGAGCGGACTGCAAAGCAGTTGCACTGTTTTCTATGGATTTTAGCAAGGCTTTCGACTCCCTGAAACATTCACTCCTCTCGGAAAAGTTAAAAAATGTGCCACTCAACCCTTATATCATAAATTGGTATTTAAATTTTCTAAAGAATAGAAAGCAAAGAGTCGTTTGTAACGATTTTTGTGGAGAATGGATGGATGTTAATAAGGATACAACACAGGGGAGCGTATAAGTGGCCCCTACCTTTTTAATATTTTCTTGAATGATTTAGAGGTGGACATAGACGGCGAGAACGCTCTTTTTAAATATGCGAACGATTCAAATATAATAGTGCCAGTTTGGAGTGACGGTCCTGATACAATTCCTGAGCTGGTCTGACGATAATTTTATGACTTGTGACCCTGGTAAATGTAAAGAGCTTATCATCCGGAAGAAGGGATATAATGATCAACTCGACAATGTTTATAATATACCCCAATGCAAAGAACTTCCCATTTTAGGTACTACTTTTCAAGACAATCTCAAGTTCACCAGTCCTGTGCGAGGTAAATTGGTCAGAGCAAACAAATGCTAGTACGCTATACGAACACTCAGGGAAGAAGGCTATAGACAATGTGAGATAGATTATATATTTAAGACCCTAGTAATATCTACTATAACGTTTGGCCTGTCCGTCTACGGTTCTTCTCCAGCCGAACTCAGTACTCTACAACGGTTTTTTGACAGATGTTTTAAGCGAAAGTATATATCAGAACCTGTAAATATTAGATATCTTTTAGAAATACATGACAGAAATATTTTTAAAGCTTCTGTATATCAGAAGAGTGCCATAGTCGACTTGATACCAAGAAAAAAATCCACAAGCTACTCTTTGAGGACAGAGTTTAGTCAGTATCCAAGAGTGAACACGGAACGTTTTAAATTGTCGTTTGCAAACAGATTAATTTTTAACTATAACCTATTCATATGATGTAAACTTTACTAATGTATTCTTAATATTTACTTGTAACATGCATAAGATATGTATTTTTATCTTTTGATCTAATAAAAAGACTTTTGAATTGAATTGAATTGAATTATTACATTATTCAGCTCACTCCCCGTTGGGTCTTTTCAGTGACGGAATACATTATAAGCATTGCGATTTTACTTACTTAACCTAGACTAGTCATCTTTACAACATTTGAGATATTACTCTTCTAACTATGTTTATCCTAACCCACCCTGCTAACTTGCCCTCTGGGAGGAAACAGGAGTACCCGGAGAAAACCCACGACTTTCGGCAGTGTTGACAGACTCTTTTCACATGAGTCCGTAACGAGAATCGAACCCACGATCTCAGAGGTGAAAGGCGCGTTTGCTCTGACGCCTGCGCCATCAAAGCCCGAATATTACTAGCATTGTTTAAACAAAGAAACTCAGATGAAAATGAAGACGCTCTTGATGAATACGATTTTCCACCTCCCTCCATAATTTTGAGAAATAGTCCAAAAAGTCACAGTCCCCCCCCCCAAACATGCATGTATGACTTCAACAGTTAGGCCTAGGGTAACTAGGTACTTAGCCAATCGTTTTTTTAGTGGATGTGACCTTAAAAAGTAATAATTTAGGTTTTTATACTCTATTCTGCGTTTTTTTCCTCATTTGCGGAATCCGCATCCGGAATCCGGGTTTATCCTCGTTTGCGGAATCCGCGTTTTATCCTCAAATGCGGAATCCTCTTACGGAATCCGCGTTCCGGTTCCGCGTTTTATCCCAATCCGTTTCAAAGCTCAATATAAACAATTGCCGCAAACTTTAGTTCATTAAGCCACCGTTAATAGAACTGTGATTAAGCCCATTCTCCACTTGGTGAATTTGTTAGTCCAGCTGTTGTAGATTTCCCTTTATCGGCATTCTTTAATTACACGTCAGCAAAAGGGATGCCGACAGAGGGAAAAGGAACAAAATTTATAAATTCTAAGGAGATGCCAATGTACGGTGTATAACAATGTCAGGTTGTGAATTTGCGGCTCAAATTTTCCCTAGCCGGCACTGATCGTCGATCGCCTGGCCACAACCGATTACACGTTCAGCACGTTCATTGACGCCTGTATTGAAAACTATAGCACTTACAGTTATCACCCGAAGAGTTACGGAGACAGCTTGTTTGTCGTTGTTTGTCCTACACTTTAGAACTCTTTATCAGTTACAATTTGTACCGTAAACTCCGTAAATACTTCGAAATCATCTTTGAAAACATCCCTTTTAATTAACAACATGTTAATTAACGTTTCCTTCACCGGCCGCGCTAAAAATATTTTGTAAATACCGAAATAAAAGATGAAAATCTGAACACACAAGCTTGAAAATAAGGTTGTTTACCATTTACATGGAAAATTCATTCGGTTTTAATTAAATCGCGAAGAGCCTGGAACTGGGGCAAAAATAAAAAAAGATGTAAGTGGAACAAAATTCACCGGTTGAAACGTGCCAATCGATAAGAGAGGACCACCTTTTCAAACAAACCGTTCATTCCGGAAAAGTTCCTGTTGGGCCGTCGAAATATGCTTGTTCCATTTACATTCCGTATGGAATCACCGGAATTTCCATGTAAATGGTAAACAACCTAACACTCTAGAATACTAAATAGTGTTTTGGATCATACATAATAAACCTTTGTGAAACATCTTTGCGCAATGTTCACAAATACATCACGTCGATATAAATCATTCCATCAATATATACATCAATATATAGTTATTTTAATTATATACATTTTGTGTCTGTATAATATACATCCTCTATATTCCGGCATATATATCCTCTAACGAGTAACGAGTTCGCAAAGTTTGTTTTGTCCAATTCTAATATTTATCGCAACTATAGCTATATGTGGGCTTATCATTATGCACATATTGTATTTCAGAACCATCCTCAGAGATACGAAAAACTAGTTTCATATTAATCTGACACTGCAATCGAGCAACGAAAAATTCGTTGGCTCGAGCGGGATTTAAACTCGCATCTTCGGGTATCTAGACCGCCGCTCTACCTATTGAGCTATCGAGTCAACAGGGATTGGTAGCGAGTCTTATCCAATTTAAGTGCACGAAATATTTTCGTGACGACTAACGCTTGTCTTAACGCGCAGTGTTTCAATTCTATTTCAGAACCATCCTCAGCGATACGAGTGACACGTCCATATTTGACAAACGGAAATACAATTATATGTGCATAATGACAAGCCCACAACGAGCTAGTTGCAATAAATATTAGAATATATGGACAAAACAAACTTTGCGAACTCGTTACTTGTTACTCGGAAGAGCATATATATGCCGGAATATATAGAGGGCGTATTATACAGACACAAAATGTATAAAATAACTATATATTGATGTATATATATTGATGGAATGATTTATATCGATGTGATGTATTTGTGACCGTTGCGCAAAGATATTTCACAAAGGTTTATTATTTACGAGATACCCTAGATAACGTTTAGAAACTAGAATATAGAATTTTGGAAGACAAATAGCTAGATAGGTCAAGGAAAAGTGATGGAACGTGAAGTTTTCTGCCTATACAAATTAAATAAAAGCACGATATTCTGGGGGTTGTTTCTCTCCGATAAAAATAATGAATTTTTGGGCAAAATTTTGGCTAAAATTTTGAGTCCAATTTTGGGTCCAATTTTGAGTCCAATTTTGGGTCCAATTTTGGGTCCAGTCCATGTTTTGTACTATGCCCATCTTGTTGACAAGTTGTTTGTACAGCATTGTCACAAGTTATTAACAAGCTTGCTACAAGCCTGTTGAGGAGTGATCTTGTTGAGAGGTTGTTGGAACGTACAGCATTGTCACAACTTGTTAACAAGCTTGCTATAAGCCTGTTGAGGACACATCTTGAGTGTCAAGTTGTTGGAACAGCATTGTCATAACTTGTTAACAAGCTTGCTACAAACCTACAGTATTGCAAACACCTCTTGTTGACAAGTTGTTGGAACAGAATTGTCACAATTTGTTAACAAGCTTGCTACAAACCTACAGTATTGCAAGTATATCTTGTTGACAAGTTGTTGGAACAGCAATGTCACAACTTTATGCTTGAAGCATATACTCTCATCCCTTTTGGCCTTTTCTTTTGCGCTTCTAATTCCTGCTTAGGAACCTGTATTTCCATTCTCTTTATTTCCAGCTCTGGTTGTTTAATTTTCTTGTCACACTAGTACTCGGTTGTTTTCAACAAATAATCCATTACACTGGATTTGCGTTTTGTAGCTGAGCGGCACACGAACTGGCTTCTTCTTCGTTCGCTCTCTCGCGTTTCTTTGTTTCACGACAAGTGTCCATAGCCGTTCGCCGTATTTCTTCTGCTTCTGTTTTACTTTAATTACATGCAGTTTCTTTGGATTCTTTAGCCTTCAAGGCAGTTTCTTCTTGAGTCTCAAATTGACTTACAATGTCTTCCATCGGCAGCTCAAATTCAGTTGGTTCAGTGTTTATGCCGCTCTGCTTCAATTAATTCGTTCGAGACGGTTTTATTATATTTCGCTTCGAAAAGCCCGTATCTTTCGCGCACGCTTCTCTAATGCTTGTTAAATTAAACGAAATTTCTGTCTTGGAGTTAAGATTGTCCAGGATCGTTTGCCAAACTGCTCCAATTTGGCGCGAAGCTTTCTGATGATCGAAAGGTCGTATTTCACGCAGCAAATGCTGGTTGTGAGCTTGCGTCCATTTCATCGGGGCGAGTTTTCTTCAAAAGAAATTTAAATTTGCGAATATATTCTTGCCATTTGGCTTACTTATTTTTACTATTATTAAATCGAAGAGCAAGAAAAATATACTAAACTTACTTATCTGTAGCCATTTTTCTTTGACGTATTCGTCACTACGGCGAAACGGTGCAAGAGGCGTTGTAAAGGAACGCCAAACAGCCAATCTCGTTCTCCGAGCCTGCGATCCTCGGGAAGGAACGTGAGGCTCTGGGATAATCCGTTGCCGGAATCCTGGCTAAGACCG